TTTTTTTTCTTCTTTTCTATCAAATAAAAATTGTTGCCTTAGCTAATGGTTAACGGTAAGGTTTATAATGTTTAAAAAATTTTACAAAACATATACAAAAGCCAGCGTTGATATTTTAAGCGGAAATGAACCTCTCTATTTTGTTTATCATACGGATAATCTACTGCAAAATTTTTTAATGCATTGATAATATATATTTTTTGGGCAACTTTTTTTTTGGCATACACTTTGCCACTTTTTATCATGTCATTTTTTTTATTGCAAATTTTTCTACATTGAGTATTCGTAGTTACCCTTTTTTTTAACCCAAAGTTTTAACTTTAAAAAAGGTTGCTTTTGTTTGTACTGATTTGGGCTGTTATTCGTTGTATACAGCATTCGGTTTCTCTATCTCTATGATCGGATGCAGTAGATTGAGAAATTTTTCTTTTTCTTTTTTTTCTCTCTTCCTTCACGTTCATGATTTCGTTGATTCACTTTCAATTTTACATCACCTAACACACAGGCACAAAAATCCATATAGTTGATTAGCGTGTCTACAAGCATAATTCGTTTTTTTGTAATAGCGGTTTTAGTTTGGTGAGTAGACCAGTGGAATTAGTTTATTTTGGTCGACATGACGCAGTTTTCTGTATTGTTTCTTCCTGCCTCATTTTTTTCTTCTAGTTTTCAAGAGAAAGACGAGGAGAATGGAAAAAAAAATAGCCGAGAAATTATTCATAATGTTGAGGCAGAAACTGAATGGATGGAGGAAGTTTTGTTAATTACGAACTAGGAATAAGCTTTAAAAAAAAAAAAATAAGAGAAAGAGAGGAAGAAGGAACAAAAACAACTTTCAAAGCGAAATTGATGATCAGTGTTGGAGTTGGTTAGGACACTTTCAGCAATGAATGAGAAAATAGACTATCAATGATTTTTTTTTTCTTTTTTTTTTTTCTCGTTTTTTTTATGTTGTTCTGCATGATAGCATGTTCATTTATTAGCTGTAATGATTCTTTGCTAGAAAGCAGGTAAAGTATTGCAAATTATGCAGTGTCTATCCACAGCTGTAGTCAGTAGGGACATTGACAGAATTAGGCAGACATTCGTAAAGGCAGAAAGTGGAAGTGGAGGAAAAATTTGCTAGAATTTTGTAGTTTTTATCGTTTTTGTTGCTTTTGCTGTTGCTGCGGTCATTTTTATTATTGTTTGATGGTTAGTCTTAGTGGCGCCACATTGATAACCAAAAGCATTAATTTGCCCATCAAACGAATGCGGTAAAACTAGTGCAGGGGTAAACAGAAAGTTCATCTGAGAAAAGAAAAAATTGCTGTTGTCCTTCAATTTTGATGTCATAATTTGTTTTTTTTTTTTCTTCTTTTGCAGGCTGACGCTAAAAATAGTGCAAGGCGAATGGTTTTTATCACTGATTTGATGAAGAATTTTCAATGGCGTGCTAATTAAAAAGTTT